CGACAGCAATCGAACAATCTCCAGTATGGGGAGTGATGCAAAAAGGGTTGCATATTCTGCTATTCGGTATAAGACAATCGTAATTAAATAATAAATCCCGGATTTTATGGGTCCGGGAAATTGGCCTAGCAGACATTTTTGGAGACTTTTGGACATGAAAATTCACATTTTGTTCAAAATATGTTGAAATTCGCCTTAGTATTCGAACCTAAATGGTTATTTCAAATATATAAATTGGAAGAAATATCGTGCCTAGAATACGCCCTAACGAAAAGAATTTTATCGGCAACCCATCTACGGGAGGCGGTTGGATTTATGCTAGCGAAGAAAATCTACGGATAGCCTTTATTACTCAAATAACTACTCTGGTAGACGGTAGATTACGCGAATGGCTGGATCCCCAAATAACAAGCCTGGGAAGACTGATTGAACTCGAACAACTTTACTGCTCAAGAATCTTTACAGTGACGCCGCCTACGATAGCCAGCCGTACAGGAGCAAAAAAGTGGGCATGTGACAAGTTTAGACTGTGCAATGAGTAATCAATCGGCTACCGCCAATCAAATGAGGCAGGAGTATAGATTACCTACAAGCGTAAACGCGGTGAGTTGACATCAAGCGTGCAAGAGGACAACAGAGGGCAGTGAGCGAAGCTCAGTGCACGAAAGGCAGCATGAGTCAGCGCAGTTGCTCTGGCCGACGGATTCCTAGACTTACTCCCGTGTGTCAGCACTAGCACTAACCCTAATATTAATCCTAACCCATATCTCTCTGGAGTCCCTATTCCCGTGTCCTACTGAAAAACAACGTGCAAATGCGGAATGGACCACATTTCGGAGTACCGCATAGTGAAGACGTTGTATGGTGTGGACTGATAACCCTCTTGAAACTATAAGAATTGCACTGAGAAAAATCGGTTGCAATTCGAAAGCAAGAGTGAGATAGACATGAAGGGTGTTATGCGAAAAACCAAACACATGTGTGCTCAGAAGTGAAGTCAAGATAAATGGTCACGCCGAGCTTAAGCCTGTTTGAGAAAGAAAAACAGTGGTGCACCGATACACACGAGAAGCGGGGTTGACAGGCCATCTCACAGAGGAAGAAAAGATGCAGACTATTGATGAAACGTTTGCTTCCCCTCCGTAAAAGTCCCGTCCCTAAGGTCAAGCGGCAAATGCTCCGGCGAATGCTATATACAGTACGCGCCGGAATTCGTGCAACATGCCGACATATGCGAAAGATTGATACTCTT